CCTCCTTGGCATGCCTAAAATTAAGTGGGTGGCGAATGTCCTCTTGAGGAATATGTTCCCATTCCTCTAAAAGAGCTTGTTGCAACTGATTTAAAGTTGAAGGAGCAGGAACACGACTTCGCATCCTTCGCCCAAGCATGTCCCAAACATGTTCAATTGGGTTCGCATCCGGGCTTAACGCTGGTCACTCCATAACAGGAATGTTTACATCGTTTAAGTACTGTTGAGTGATTCTCGCGATGTGAGGTCTGGCATTATCATGCATTAGAAGAAAGTCATTTCCAATAAAGTCAACATAAGGGACAACAAAATCTTGGAGAATTTCATCAATGTACCTGACAGCAGTTAAGGAGCCTCTCGGAATGATGTACAATTCTGTGTGTGTCTCCATAGAAATTCCGGCCCACACCATAACTGAGCCTCCTTGGTAGCCTACCCTAGGACTGAAGGTACATTCTGCGAAACGCTCTTATGGTCTTCACCATACTCTCTCACGACCATCTGGAGACCGCAGGCTAAATCTGGACTCATCCGTAAACAAAACGCGCCCCCATTCATTTTCACCCCAATGCTCATGATTTCTGGCAAACTGAAATCGCGTAATACGATGACGTCTAAGAAGCTCTGGGCATGTTGCAGGTCTACGACTGGTAAGATTGGCTTCTCCGAGTCTTCGTCTAACTGTCTGTTCGCTTATGTTGGTTTGCCGGACGTGATGAAGTCGATTTCTAATTTCAACAGCCGTAGCATGACGATTTCGCAGACTTTGTAAGATGATAAAGCGATCATCATGAGCGCTAGTTCTTCGTTGGAGACCAGTTCCAAGTCGTCTGGTGTAAGCTCCAGTTTCCAAAAAACGTGTAAAAATACGGTGCACAGTGCTATTGGATATGTGATACTGTTGGGCAACATATCGCTCACTTCTTCCGTCTTGAAGCAACGCAACACTAGCAGCCGCTATTTCGGGATTAACAGCCATAATTTTGTAGGTGAAATAAACGCAGCACAACTTTAAAACGTGTTTCGATCTGTCAAATTTCTCAAAACAATGAAAACAACAGCATTGTTGATCATGGTTTCATAGCCAACTATGCACTTTGAAGTGATAAGTCCGTTCAATTTTTGATTTTTATTCAAATACGCTTTTTTTCTTCAAATAAAGGTTCAATTGTTGTTAGAAAATGCTTAACATACGTTGTTTTGTTTATGTTTAAGATATAATAATAAAACATCACAAAGTATTAAAATTTTAAGTTTGTTTAAAAAAATTAAACTGCTCCGTTTTTCGTGCCGGTGAGTGTAGAACATACGACTGACTGATATTTCTTATTGGCTAAAATCACAACGATTTACAGCTGCTTTTCTTTTCTGTAGCTACATTTGTCGGAACTTTCAAAGATTCCTCAATTATTTCTAAAATTTGGCAACAGTGTGGAGCTGCGACGGTCTAAAATTTATTCGTCAACGATAACGTGCATTGGTTTTTATATTGTATAAAGTATAGAACATCATATCCATCTAGAGATAAAACATCTACTGAATTACAGATTTATAATGTTTCAGTCAAAATAATGACGTGAAAATCCGTTTTAATAGTATTTAGAAACAAACACAAACTATCATAATTTTTATTTAGACTTGGTATATTTAAATGTATTATTTCGAGGGCATTGTTTAATTTTGTTGAATATAAATTAAATATAGATATATTTTCAATAATTTTAGTATCAATTGTTTTATTATGGTAATTTTGGATGTATTCATGCATGTTTGTTAGTTGTGGATCCAAATCCAGTTATTTTTTTGAATAGAGCAAAAATTGTTGGATAAAACTTTTGTAAATCAGACAACCCTGTACGTAAACGTGATTTTATAGAAAGTTAGAACAGAGTAAATTTGTTTTAGTTATAGTATTCAGGTATTTTCGATTTGACCTCTGTTTTGACATTGACAGTATTGACACTTCATACTCATTGCATTCGTAATTGCAATACACTTTTCATTTGTTCAATAATTAAGTATTGTGTATGTATTATAATGTACATATTTGAATAGATTGATTAGGTGTTTTTGGAATATGAAACAAGAGTTGGGGCAGAGGCGGATAAATGATGATGTAGAGTTCATTATAATGAATAATATTTGTTATCGCCAATCATCAATAGAGCAATACATTACCATAGACATTTGCGGAAGTAAACAAACAGTTTATCTACCGCTTATATTTATCAACATAGCAATGGCCGTCTGACAGAAATAGTCTTTAACTAATTTATTTTTATTCGCTATTTTTCTGGTTATTTATTTTGTTAATGTAATATTATAATATCTCCTTTACGATTGGCTATAAGAGTTTGTATGGACACGTCAGCAAAGTGTCTTTATCGAAGTCGCCTGTTACTCGCCTCGATCGCTTCTCTTGCTCGGCTCATAATCTCAGACTAGTTCGATAAAGAATCACATTTCGACTTGGTGCATAAATAACTATTTAACTAAAAATCTAATTTAAGCATTATTTATCAAGTTATATAAGTTGTCACTTATCTGACGTTTGAAAAAATAGTTATATAGGCATACAATATTTTTTCTACTACCGTACACATAATCCGCTAATATTAGAAATATAAAAGTTACTTTTTTGCACTAGTAAAAAAAAGTACTTTACTTTACGCACTAGTGAAAAAAAGTAAAATGTGCCAAAAATTGTACACAGCAACAAAAATAAATTTATTGGAACTTTACAAATTTATAATTCTTACAGAACAAAATAACTAACAAATGAAGAAATGTTTAAAAAAATAGGTTTTTAACTCTTATGAATATTAATATTGAATGTGCAATTATTGCAATTACCAAAACTTAAGGTTTTGGCCTTTTCCAGTAAAGAGTTTGAAAAATGTTTTGATATTACTTCTGTAACCCTATTTTGAGCTTCGAGTGGTATGGATTTAGCCTTTTCAAGTAAAGAGGTTGAAATATTTTGTGTAACTCTAGTTTCACTGTCGAGTGGTTCCACTAATTCTTCATTAGAGTTGTCAACGGTAAAATTGTAGCTTTGTTTGGAAGTGGATGGCATACTGTCATCCATCAAAATTTTATTAGATATTTTGTTTTTTTGTGTTATTGTGTTGTCTACGTAGCCTTCTGCAACAGCAGATGATTTCCATCCTTCATGTTTTTTGACCGTTAGAAGGTCTCCTCCAGAATTTGCCAGCATAGTGGCTGAAGACCTCCTAAAGCAGTGTCCTGTAAAAGCCGTTGGATTGGGCAAGTTTAGATACGTTGCTATAACACTTGGCATTTTACCAAAAGTATTTATCCCTACAGGCTGTTTAGAATATTTTCCATTTGCGAATTTTAAAAAAAATCTGTTACAATTTATATTTGATGGTCTTAATGAGGTATATTTTTTTATGAAAGATAAATAATCAACTGCAGAATTATTTGGATTTAAAATCGTAAAAATGCGTTCTATTCCATTTTTGGTTTCTGATACTTTGACAATATACACTGTTTGTTTATCTTCCACATCGTTAATTGTCATTTTACATCATTCTTCCCGGCAACAAGCTCCCGCAATTCCAATTATAAAAGCTACCTAAAAAATAACATATTGTAATGTTACAAATAATTTATTAAACATTAGGAAATATCTTGACGTTGCGCATGTAAAACTCCAAATAAATGCTATTGTAAAAAATATAAAAGTTTTAGGTATAATATGCTGCCTAACAACCCCGGTGGCCTGTTAGGACAGCAACTGATTTTGTTAGGCAACACAGCATACGAACACACATCTCGTTGCAAAACTTTACAGAATATTTTAATTTTATACTGAGCATTCAAGCATTTACTGAGGCATTTACTTACTTTGATCATTAAAAACTTGGAATCTGGAGCTTTCAACAGAAAATTAATTAGATCTTCTCGTTCAAAAATTTTGGATTTTTTTGGTTTATAACCTTTATTTTTTTGTTTGAGAAACGCTATTAACTTGTTGAATTTCGAAATATCAACGTTCTTTTTATATTTTAAGGTGCTTTTAAGCATAGAATAAATCGACCATAGGGTAGAAGCTTTGCAATTCTTCAATTCATCAGAGAAATATGCTAAAATAACGTTTACCGAATATTTTGTCACCTTATTCTTCCTACACCATTCTATAAATGCATTGTATTTTTGCTGATAAATATATGCAGATTTTTCTGGAAATAAATTTTCAGTGGCCTTTTGTGCATTGCATAATATATCTGGGGGAGTATTATCAAATTCGCTATCGCTAGATAAATTTGAATCCATATCGATTATGACTTATATAATAAACTGCAAATAAAATTTGAATTTAAGTAAACAAACATTAAAAAGTAAAACTTTTTACCTTCTCAAACTTGATTGAGTTTAAAAAAATGCTAAATTGGCTTTAGAATCTAATCTTGAACTTAAGTATACTTTTGTCGTGTTCTGTTATAAGGTAGGTACTAATTAAAAGTTTAGAGATTGACAGTTCTTCTAATCCACACAGCCACGGCCAACTTACTTTTACCAAAATCGACATCCACTGTATGTTTACTTTTAATTAAATCGATGACATTTAGAGAAAATTATAATTAAAATAAACTGTTGATAATTTGTTGGACACTAAATAGATATAAGCAAAAATAATTTATTTATTTGTCTTAGAAGGAGATAGCAAAAAAATGTTAATATAAAATAAAACGTTATATTTTGTTGTTATGTACAAATTTTGTCAAATTTTACTTTTTTTAACTAGTGCGTAAAGAGTTTTACTTTACGCACTAGTGAAAAAAAGTACAACTTTACACACTTCGTGGAGTGCGTAAAGTACGTACTTTACGCACGGTAGTAGAAAAAGGATATTTATTAAATACTGTTTCTGATCAACCATTTTTCACCCTTCAATTTCTATAAATTGCTCACAATTTGTTTGAATATAAAAATAGAATTGCTTGTGGAAAAGGTTGAACGGTTTCCGTACTCACCCCAAATCCTTCATCGATCGGAATGAAGAATGTGTGTCCTCCTTCCACTTTGTAGATATCCTGTTTGCCCTTCTGCTGAACTTTCTGGCGGAAATTCCTGCAAAATAAGGTCCTTTTATGAAATCGCGAAATACCTCATGAGAATTTTCTGCAAAAAATTTCATATATATCTTCGCAACCGAGATTCTGCGTTTAAGACATTTTCTCTGGTCGAGAGCCTTCTATTTTGGATAACTAATAAGGTCTAGCAGTCTATACGGGGTTGTCCTATTTTCATTTTAACGAAACAATATTTTAAAATTATATAAATATCGATTAATTTAGTGTATGACCATTTTAAGTTAATTAAAAAATTACTGTCACGAAATAGTAAAAAATATTTTTGATTCCACAAGGTGAAAAAAATAAAAAATTAAAAAAATGTATGGTGTTCTACGCGAGCTGTCCGTAGCCATTCATCCATATGGATATTGAATCTTTGACATCCAAATACAATTTAGTTTTGATAATAATCTCGATTTTATTGGCATTTCAATCAGAAATATTAAAATAAATAATGGAATGTGAGCCATTTCATTATTCAGTCATGCTCTAATCGTCCAAGTCCATCTCTGTTTTATTTGGCCTTTGAGGCTCAACTTGTCCGATTATCATACATAATTAAACCCCTTAAGACCAAACATATGTGACGACTATGGTAGAGGTGCTTTTCGAGTACATTTCAGGGCCAACGTGATAATGCTTCTAATTTTGGCGAGAACGTTCTGTAGCCCACCAGAAATTTAAAATTTGTATATAAATATTGGTTGAGGAACACAGGCAATTAGATATATATGGACAGTGAAGAGAAATAGTGAATAGTTTAAAAACAATCGAAATATATATATAAATTAGAATAGTAGTGTTATAAAATAAATAAGTGTTTAAATAAATAAATTATAAATAAACTGTTGTTTAAAATAAACAAACATCACAGTAAAAATTATCATAGTTTAAATCCTAATAACAAGTGTGGCAGAAGGATCGACGAATATCTGGTATAAATACCAACTTCAATATAAAAAGACTTGTAGTAGACGGAAATACTTTAATTACCAACGATGAAATAGTCTCGTCATTAGCGCAAACTTATCAAAAACGTTCCAGCATCAATAGTTACAGTTCATCAAATTTCTAGAGGTGTTCGACGCCCAGACAGAGAACGCGCTACGTGTGACTAAGATAGCTATTGTACAGTCTGCTAAACAAGTTATTTTAAATAGTTTTTAATATTTTTAGGTAATTAAATTTTAAAAGTGTGGAATAGTTTAGGGATTAAATTGGTCTGATTGGACTTTCTTAGAACGTTTTTAAAAGCAGCTAAAGATAGTATATAGAATTGAAAATAATTATTATGCCATAAAAGGTGTTTTGGAATTCCTTCAACCTTTTGAAATTGAGTCAGAAAATATAAATTTTATAGGATAGCGGAAAATACCTATAATTTTTTTGTAGGCCTTTGTAAATAGTTTATATTTTATTTCTACCTTATTAAGGAAAATGGTACCTATTATTAATAAAAAATAACAGGGGAATATTTACATTTCTTGATCTATTAAACAAAACGATAAATTATCTCGACGAATGACACCATGTTCTAGTACGGAAGCTAGCTTTACATTTTTGTTGTTGGTTTCATGGGTTTCATATCAATTTTTTGTAATTGTAGTTTACACGTACATATACCTCTTAACACTTGTTTGCTTTATTAAAAAAGTGTGTTGTGATTTACGTCGAAATAAGTCAAAAACAACTTGAAACCCCATATAAAATCAAAAAGGAGAAACGGAAAAAAATTGAGCCTGTAAATGAACACAACTCAGAAACAAAAATAGCTATCTAATAATAAAAAAATAAAATTTGATTCTTGTGCAGCTTCATCTATATCATTAACTGTTTTTGGTTTTTTAATGGTTTTTCTTGGTGATGAAAATTCCGATATCTTACGGTTATCGATTCTTTTTTTCTCTCCAGAAATGCGGACGACATTGTTTTTAGATACTCCTGTGGCTGCAGCAACACGATCATTTACATTTTTAAATGGTATTGAAGGTGAATTAAAGTTTCCTTCTCTTCTCATAAACTCTATAACATTGGCTATTATTTCGCGAGATTGACTGTTAATCACGCGCCCTCTTAATTTGCTATTAAACTCCATACTTAGGTTCTATTAAACTGTAATAAGCAAAAAACACAAACGAAAATAAAAGAAATGTTTTAGCGAATTTTACATCTGACATTTACGTCTGAATGAAATAGTGAAATACTTGATGCGCAGAGTGTACTTTCATTGCGTAAATCCGTCGGGATGCGTCTAGAAATTTGATGAACTGTATAATGAATCTTTTATACGGTATAAAAAAATGGAAGAAAATAAGACTATTGCAATTACTTCTATCGATGATGAGCCACTAAATCTACCTCTTTCATCAGCAGAATATGCAGTAGTTCTATCTAGTTTACGTGATATTTCCCCTGGACTGGACGATATACCAGCTAGTTTCCTCAAACAGTTACCCACCAGAGCCCATGAATACCGTCTACGATTATCTAACGTTATCTGCTGTCAACATGTTTTTCCAAAAAAATGGCATGAATCTACAGTAATCCCTATACTAAAAGCTCAGTGTCCAAAAACCAATCCAGAATCATATCGGCCTATTTCGCTAACATCCGCAATATGCAAATTTATGGAAAAAATAACTAATAAAAGGTTGCTATGGACACTAGAGAAACGCAACCTGATTAGACCAGAATAGATTGGATTTAGACAACAAGGCAGCACACTAGATAACATCATAGATTTAAAAAGCGAAATCAATAAATAATTTGCACTAAATGGTAAATGTTTAGCTCTCTTTATTGATATTAACCGACACACTACGTGGCATGACTATATAATTAAGAAACTATACAACTGGAACATGCAAGGTAACTGCCTCTTTTTCGTTAAAAACTTTTTGACAAATAGATCTTTTAAAGTGAAAACCAATGCCACTCTTTCCAATGAAATTATACTTGAAAGCGGTCTTCCCCAAGGTTCCACAATAAGCCCGACTCTCTTCATAATAGTTATTAATGATATACTGAAAGGCCTTAAACCACCATTCGTCTATAAGCATATGACTCAGTCGTATTTTGCAAGGGCAAGAACATAAACAATATTTTTTTACATACCCAACAATTTATTAACCAACTGAAGATTTGGTCACAGCAAACTGGCTTTACCTTTTCTACCGCCAAAACTCGTTACATCCTATTTTCTAAAAGAAATGTTGCTGTCACACCTGAATTAACACTTCTAAATAAAAATCTATAATCCGAATCATCCATAAAGTGTCTGGGAATGACCTTTAACTCATCTTTAACATGGAACCTTGACATTAAAAATCTCATCTTATCCTGCCACAAAAGACTCAATCTTCTAAAAATGCTTTCAAATAAAACCTGGGGAGCCGACATTTAGACACTACTTACTTTATACCGAACATTAATACGACCAAGATTGGACTACGCTTCGATCATTTATACATCTGCTTCCAAAACTTTAACTGCGCCTCTTAACACTATCCACAACACAGCACTTCGAATAATCACAGGAGCATTTCGTACAACGCCAGTTGAAAGCATATACTGCGATGTCGGTGAACCTTCCTTGGAGAACAGAAGACGAAATTTATGCCTCGCCTCTCTTACAAATCCTACCGTTAATAAGTGTTTTCCCAGAGATTTCACGCTCTATTCTCAGAACATCCTAGAAGCTCCAAACCTTTCTATGCCAGAATAAGAAACTACCAAGAAAAAATCAACTACTCTATTCCTGAATGCCTACCAAATCACCCTAAGTTTACACCTCCTTGGCAAATAAAAAATCCTACGTGTCTTACCTCGCTTACTGCATTTGACAAATACTCAACGAATACCCAACTTATCAAAACAAGTCTCAGCAATATCCTCTGCAAATTCGATGGATACTTACAAATTTTTACTGACGCTTCAAAGCTAGATGGAAGAACAGGAGCTGCTGTCATTACTCTCACATCTAGTAGTATGTACAAACTTTCGTCAGAATCTTCTATTTTTCAGCTGAGCTGTTCGCCCTATTCCAAGCATTATTATTCGCTAATTCCTCAACTTCCCAAAAATTTGTGGTTTTCACAGACTCTCTTAGCTCTATATTTGCTTCACAACGCATCTTTACCATCAACCCCTTGATTAACAAAATAAAAGAGGAACTCTATTCGGCTCAGCTAAGGGGAAAAGACATCATATTATCTGGATACCATCTTACATAAGAATAAGTGCAGACAAACTGGCCGAAGAAGCTGTGAATAGTGAAAGTGTCTTACCGGTTTAATTATTATTGAGTAGTGACGTAAAATCATTCATTAAAGCAAAAGGATTCAGTGCATGTGAATCTAAGTGGTCGTCTTATTCTTCTAAACTCAGTGAAATTAAAAACAATGTGAAACCATGGTCATTACTTCCGCGAAAACGTAGTGATCAAATTTTACTATCCATGCTACGTTTGGGTCATACACGACTAACGCACAGTTATTTATTTAGCTCTAAAATCGAACCAAAATGTAGCCACTGCGACATCAAGTTGACAGTAAAACATATACTCGTAGACTGTCCTTTTCTTGCACCTCAACGTATTGAATCAAACCTTCCCGCTGGTCCAATAGCTAACATTCTAGGCTCTGCGTACAATATAAATACTATAAAAAGTTTTTTGAAATCCATCAACATACTACATTCTATTTAGTTATTCTTATATTGTCACATCTCTTTTGTATGTACTCCACCAATTTGTAACTTACAATTCGCTAATAACCTTTGTGGTTGATCGATCTTTTCTTCAAATAAAAAAAATCCTAATAACTAAAATTTTTGTACCAAAATCACAGGGTTCATGTTCCTAAAGTGGTCTTCGCATTAACTGTTCAAGTTTAACCAATAAATAGGTTATCATTAGAAATATAATTGTGTGCCCTTTAAAATAACGTATCATTCGACCGCACTTTCTATTTGAAATTTTAGGGATGTGATTGTCCCCTGCCAGGAGGTTGAAGATGCAGGTTGGAAAGTACGCTAAAAATGTGTCCTTTTACCAAGAAAAATCGTCATGTCCGAGCTCTTCTGCTTTAAATGTCACATATTTTAGCCAAATATTAGCCTACGTTGTCTACATTGCAATAAATAGGCACATTTGTTAAATGGAACAAATTAAAATTATCAATACAAAAAGCAATAATCTATTATTTTTAATAGCCCTTCAAAACTACGCCAATGAACTTCTTATATTCGACTTCAATTTCTAAGTTTGTACAAATACTTCGAAATTGAAAGAGACTTGATTTAGTCTATAAAATCGTAGTAGTCTATGCCGTTTCCATGGTGAACGGTAACGAACTTTGCTATCTAGAGTATCAAGTAAGCTGCAGCCGGCAAAGTTTAAATGTCAACATGCATCCATTTCGAGAATAATTTATCCAAACAGCTATAGGTATCAAATAAAATTAGGAACTAATGTGAAGGATTAGTATTTGGTATTAGATATATTATCGCTCATTTTTAGAAAGAAAAAAGAAAATAATCTAATATAAACTCAAAATATTTGTTTTACTATTTTTGGACGTCATTCGGTGTATGTGGTTTAATTTAGTAATATCGTTTCCTTGTTTTTGGTGGATACGCTGAATTAATACCACCAAAAGGTATACTTTTTTTAATTATTTCGCCAAAATTAGTAGTGTTGTGCCACCAAAATGAGGAAATTTTGAGGAGAGTCAAAATGGTGTACCTAGTTAGTGATTATATAAAACTACACAAAATAAAAAAATATAGTGTAACCACCAAGTTGAAATATAATGCAACTGAAATGTGTGTAAGAGAGAACCTAAGAAGGAAGTACAAAAACAAAACCATCTTAATTCTCTGAGAGAGCCAAGCACCCTAAATGTCCTTGGTAGTGATGCCGCGAGACGAGGGCCAGAGAAAACTGTTCTCTCGGAAATAAAAATATTTTGAAGCATATTTTCAAAAATATATATAATACTTTTTCTTTGCCAGTTTTTCGAAAAAACCTCAAATTTGACTAAATGAAAATTATTGCGATTGCTGTCCGTTGGATAGCTTTTTTTTTTAATACAAAGAAAAAGAGCTCTACTGTACTGATATTTGTATCACCGCCTTTTATCTAACTCTATCAACATATCAACTCTAATTAATTTAAAACATCTACGAGACGGAACACTATTGCGCTATTTCATTTGATAAAACTTTTTTATTTAGCTTTAAAACTTGTGTAATAATGTCTGTTTGTGTACGTTTGCGTCCGTTTGTGTCCGTTTGTGTGCGTTTATGTCCGTTTTTGTCTGTTTTATGTTGTCTTTTTTATCTAATTTTGGCTGTTTTTGTCTGTTTTTGTCTGTTTTTGTCTTTTTTGTCTGTTTTTGTTTGTTTTTGTTTGTTTTTGTTTGTTTTTGTTTGTTTTTGTATGTTTTTGTATGTTTTTGTATGTTTTTGTATGTTTTTGTCTGTTTTTCTCTGTTTTTCTGTTTTTCTCTGTTTTTCTCTGTTTTTCTCTGTTTTTCTCTGTTTTTCTCTGTTTTTCTCTGTTTTTCTCTGTTTTTCTCTGTTTTTCTCTGTTTTTCTCTGTTTTTCTCTGTTTTTCTCTGTTTTTCTCTGTTTTTCTCTGTTTTTCTCTGTTTTTCTCTGTTTTTCTCTGTTTTTCTCTGTTTTTCTCTGTTTTTCTCTGTTTTTCTCTGTTTTTCTCTGTTTTTCTCTGTTTTTCTCTGTTTTTCTCTGTTTTTCTCTGTTTTTCTCTGTTTTTCTCTGTTTTTCTCTGTTTTTCTCTGTTTTTGTCTGTTTTTGTCTGTTTTTGTCTGTTTTTGTCTGTTTTTGTCTGTTTTTGTCTGTTTTTGTCTGTTTTTTTTTGTCTGTTTTTTTGTCTGTTTTTTTGTCTGTTTTTGTCTGTTTTTGTCTGTTTTTGTCTGTGTTTGTCTGTGTTTGTCCGGTTTTGTCTGTTTTTGTCTGTTTTTGTCTTTTTTCTTTTTTGTCTTTTTTTGTCTTTTTTGTCTTTTTTTGTCTTTTTTTGTATTTTTTTGTATTTTTGTCTTTTTTTGTATTTTTTTGTCTTTTTTTGTCTTTTTTTGTCTGTTTTTGTCAGTTTTTGTCTGTTTTTGTCTGGTTTTCTGTTTTTGTCTGTTTTGTCTGTTTTGTCTGTTTTGTCTGTTTCTGCCTGTTTGTGTTTCTGTCTATTTTTGCTTTTTCGTTTGATTTTTTTGGTCTGTTTTTGTCTATTTTTTTCTGTTTTTGTCTGTTTTTGTCTGTTTTTGTCTGTTTTTGTCTGTTTTTGTCTGTTTTTGTCTGTTTTTGTCTGTTTTTGTCTGTTTTTGTCTGTTTTTGTCTGTTTTTGTCTGTTTTTGTCTGTTTTTGTCTGTTTTTGTCTGTTTTTGTCTATTTTGTCTGCTTTTTTTGTTTTTGTCTGTTTCTGTGTTTCTGTCTGTTTTGGCTCTTTGTTTAATTTTTTTGTCTGTTTTTGTCCTTTTCTTTTTAGTTTTTTTTTTTCATCTTTTTTGTCTGTGTCTGTTTTCTGTCCATTTTTGTCTGTATTTTTGTCAATTTTTTGTCTATTTTTGTCTCTTTTTCTGTACTTGTTTGTTTTTGTCTGTTTTTATCTCTTTATGCTTGTTTGTGTCTGTTTGTGTCCGTTTGTGTCCGTTTTTGTCCGTTTTTCTCTTTTTTTGTCATTTATGTCTCTTTTTGTCTGTTTTTGCCTGTTTTTGCTTTTTCGTCTGTTTTTTCTTGTCTGTTTTGTCTGTTTTTTATCTGTTTTATTTTAAACTTTTTATCAATTTTTATCTGTTCTTTGTCTGTTTTTGTCTGTTTTTGTATGTTTTTATTCGTATTTGTTTACGTTTTTAATTTTTTATTTTTTATTTTAATTTTGATTTGATATATAAAATAATTTGATATTGAAAATAATAATTTTTATGCATTTGTAGATGAAACCATGCATTTTGCGGGTCGATACATAGCTCATTTGATGATTGGATGATTGCTGAGTTGAAAAGTTTAATTCTTGAACAATCCAACGAAGCCTGTTCCCTTGAAGAAGTGCAAAAAGTGGTAGAAAGTAGGATTATTCAATAACAAATTAGTTTTGTACCCGAAACTATTACAAAGTTGCAAAAAACACAAAAATACCACTCACAGAAAGTGTAAACTTAATAAATACATTCACTTTGTCTTGTAAAAACGTTATAAACAAAATTAGAACCAAAATATATGAGAAGTTAAATATAAGGATTAAAAAAATCTTGAATTTAAGACACTTCTTGTTGAAGTCGCAAGCATTTTAAGTGGATACTTTTCCGAAAATTTTAACATGGATCCAGATGTTTTACTTAATTTAAAAAATGCACCTGTTACTCGGTGGATGTGAATAAAAGCTTTCCAATTAATAAATACTTATAAAGATATAGATAGAAAACATTCATTTTTGGTTACACATTTTGAAAAACATTGTTTTATAGTTTTAATAAATTTAACTAATGCATTTAATTTATGGTATGAAAGTTTTAATAATGTGTCATATGATATGACTCATATCTATCTAATAATTTTTATTACATTTTTTTTTCATATGTTGATTTTTTTGCATATTTTTCAAATCATGTATATTTATGCGCATAAACTGGACTTTTTAAGTGCATATTTTGCCTAAGTCTAGTTATAAATAATGAGTAATAATAGAGAAATACTTGACGAAACAAATAATATGCGAAGCCGTACTCCTATTTGTGAATTTACTCATTGTAGAATAGATAAAAGTTAGAATACAACACTGTATGATCATTGTTATTAAAACAGTGTATAAACTGATGAAACAAAACAAATCTTACCTGACTCTGAAGGGAGTTTGGCTGTTCGAAATAAGCGTATCGTAGTTTTCCAAAAATTCCCACGCGGTTGGATTGTATACCCTGTTGGACACCCCGCTGGGAGATACGGTCGGTATCAAAACTTCGTCGATCTTGTGTAGAACCTGGAACAAAGAAAAGTCAAAGTTAAATTGCGTGCCGTATATCAGTCTTAAAGAAGTCAATGTTGGCGAGTTAAAAAAATATAACTTATATTAGAGAACACATTATTGATGTTTCTGGTACGAAAACAAATTAGTATCCTATTTCTTTTATTTTATTAATGAATATGGACCTGAATCAAAAACAATACCTATAGGTATGTGTCTAAATTCTAAATGGTATGGAAAGTGTTGTTAGTGTTCCATCTCCCTAAATATGTGAACAGTATTTGAAAGTAAGTCTTGGTGTATTAGATGGGTGAAATATTTTCCTTCTTTCAGGACAGTCATTTCGAAATTTTTATTGTTAATGCGCATTTTATTAAGAAAATAGTAAATTATTTATCAACTTAAACAAATAAGACTTGTTTAAAATTAAATACAACAATATTTCACTGTGCTTTATTTAGAAATAAACAAGTTTATTTTTATTATTTTCACAAAAATATGTAAAATTCATCTAAACATTAACGTTGACCTAGTATCACCTTACACCGTAATACTAGCTTATTTGACATTAGTAATTTTGTAACCACTACGTTTATTCAACATAAATATAAAGCATAAATTGTAAACTTTGTCATAAAATAATGCTAGAAAATAAAGACACATATATTTTCCCTTACAAGTAAAAGGCAATCGGACAAAACCATTATTTTAGTTCACTGAGAAAATTCGGCTTACACAAGTATCTACCTAATATTTTTGACTTGTCATTATTCAATATCTAACAATAGCAAGTTCTTAAAAAACCTGCCATTATTTTATTGATCTTTCTGTGACCATTGTATTACCCTTATTAGATAAATATTTATCTTTAGTTAACAATTATTTACCAGTTATTCAATCAATTTGCTAATAATTCAGGAATAACTGTTAGTTGGCATTGACTAAAGATAATTCTAAAAAAAACTTGCAGTTATCTTTTAAATTTTAATACCACCATCTACTAGTAGTAATAACAACATACAATTAAGGTTATTCTTTTAATTTTAACTACTATTGGTATCTTCTCTATACCGATTGTACGCTAGGATGAGTGACGTTGCCACATATTTAGTTAAATATTAGTTAGTTAAATACTATTTTTTTAGAATTTTCTTTAAAATTGATTATTCGATTATCTTTGAAAATTGAAGATAATCGATTAATTAAAAACCGATTAACCTATAACTTGATTTAAAAAAATACGGAGTTGTCGATTATCTTCCAACAACCGATTATTATCAAATAATCTATTTTTTCGTATTTACTTTAAAATCGATTATTTTACACTCTGCTGTTTTGTTTATGTTCTTCTAGTCCGCTTTTTTGTTTGAAATAATAAAAATTATCGATTATTCGAAAATAATCGATTAATTAAGAAGCCGATTCTATGATAAATAGATTTTCCAAAAAAATAATAATAGCCGAATTATCGATTATTTTCAATTACCTAATCTATTTTTTTTTCGTATTTTCATTAAAATTGTTTATTCGAATATCTTTGAAAAATTGAAAATATGCGATAAATCGAAAATAATTGATAAAGCGAAAATAATCGATTAATTATAAAGTTGATTAAGCGATAAGTCGATAATTCTAAAAAATAATTGAAATATCGATTATATAAAATAACCAATTATATTTGATCAATCGATTATTTTCATATACTCAATTCATTGTTTTTCGTATTTCCTTTAAAATAAATTATTCGAATACCTTTGAAAAATCGAAAATAATCGATTAATCGAAAGTGATCGAATAACTAAAAAAGGCGATTAACCGACAAATCGATTTTTAAAAAAATTACCGAATTATTGATTATATTAAATAATCGATTGCTTTCGATCAACTGATTATTATCAAATAATTAAATTTTTTCGCATTTCCTTTAAAAATCGATTATTCGACTATCTTTGAAATATCAAATTTAGTCGAATATTCGAAAATAATCACTTAATCGAAAATAATCGATTAATTAAGAAACCGATTCTACGATAAATCGATTTTCCATAAAAAAAACGAATTATCGATTATTTTCAAATAATCAATTTTTTTCGTATTCCCTTTAAAATTGTTTATTCGAATATCTTGGAAAAATAAAAAATAAATGAAAATAATTGAAAATAATTGAAAATAATTGAAAATAATTGAAAATAATTGAAAATAATTGAAAATAATTGAAAATAATTGAAAATAATTGAAAATAATTGAAAATAATTGAAAATAATTGAAAATAATTGAAAATAATTGAAAATAATTGAAAATAATTGAAAATAATTGAAAATAATTGAAAATAATTGAAAATAATTGAAAATAATTGAAAATAATTGAAAATAATTGAAAATAATTGAAAATAATTGAAAATAATTGAAAATAATTGAAAATAATTGAAAATAATTGAAAATAATTGAAAATAATTGAAAATAATTGAAAATAATTGAAAATAATTGAAAATAATTGAAAATAATTGAAAATAATTGAAAATAATTGAAAATAATTGAAAATAATTGAAAATAATTGAAAATAATTGAAAATAATTGAAAATAATTGAAAATAATTGAAAATAATTGAAAATAATTGAAAATAATTGAAAATAATTGAAAATAATTGAAAATAATTGAAAATAATTGAAAATAATTGAAAATAATTGAAAATAATTGAAAATAATTGAAAATAATTGAAAATAATTGAAAATAATTGAAAATAATTGAAAATAATTGAAAATAATTGAAAATAATTGAAAATAATTGAAAATAATTGAAAATAATTGAAAATAATTGAAAATAATTGAAAATAATTGAAAATAATTAAAAATAATTGAAAATAATTGAAAATAATTGAAAATAATTGAAAATAATTGAAAATAATTGAAAATAATTGAAAATAATTGAAAATAATTGAAAATAATTGAAAATAATTGAAAATAATTGAAAATAATTGAAAAAATCTAAATAATCAAGAATAATCGACAATAATCGAAAGCAATTGATAAATCGAAAATAATCGATAAATCGAAAATAATGGATTAATTAAAAAGTTGATTAACCGATAAATCGATAATTCTAAAAAAATAACTGAAATATCGATTATATTTGATCAATCGATTGTTTTCAAATACCTAATCTATTTTTTTCGTATTTGAACAATCGAAAATAATCTATTAATCGAAAATTTTTGATTAATCGAAAATAATCGATTAATTAAAAAAAGCCGATTAAATAAAAATTAATTATTTTTTAGTATTTTCAATCAGTCGATAATTATTTTGAATACATCTATTTTCTTTAAAATCGATTATTCCATTAACTTAACGAAAATAATTTATTGAAAATATTCGATTAATCGAAAATAATCGATTAATTATAACGGATTAAATCAATTTTCATAAAAAGAATAACAAAACAATCGATTATTTTTGTAACCCCTATCGGTCGCTTGCTTCTATCCGAGTATTTATATCCAAAATTTAGAGATTCGGATTTTTTGATCCCATTACCTTTAAAACCGCATTCGATTGTATAATAAATAATAAACAAATTTTTTTTCGAGTTTTTTAGAGGTTTATAATGTAACATTTGTTAATCAATGAAAACGTATGTAAAGACATGACAAGTTTAAGTCAATTTTTCTTGAAAACGGTTGGTTATGGAGACTTCAGATAAGTGCACCATTTTTGTGTGAAAATTACGAAATTTTTTAAATTTTATTTCAAAATGGCGACTTTTCGAAAGACAAAAAAAATGAATAAAAAAGTCCAATACCCCACCCAAACGAGCCGCTTATGACTACATTAAAAAAATCTTATATTCCTGTCTAAACCAACATAACATGTCATATATGTGTGTCCTGCTTAGACTTGAACAATCATTACCTAACAACATGGCTCATAAAATACAAGCTTCTTTCTAAAAAATAGTAGATGTATACAAACTGGTTAACAGGGAATTTGGTGAAAAATATGCTCTTCATTTCACTACATTCCTTAAATACAAAATTTTTCTAAGATACTAATATCTAATCTAAATAAATATGATCTGGTCTAAAACTAAAAGGAAAATAGGATGCTCTGACTAGGTCCTATGCCATTTGGTGTTAAGGGTATAATAGCACCTCAGTTCAATTTTAAACATCGATAAATCGAAAATGCTCTTATCAAATGGGCTGAAATTTTAAAATCACATATTATAGGAAGTTGTCGAAGGCCCCAATTTTTTTTTTCTGAAAAGTACTTTTTGTTTCTGAGGAAAAAATTCGGTGACCTCATAAAATTGGAATTTTAGCAAAAGGATATGTCATGTCCTAGATAATGTCACAATAAATACGCTATAAAAATTTTATTTCTTAATATCAAACGGTATTTAAAAAACACTTGTTCAAAATTTTGTATTTATATGCCTCTGGGTACTGCTGCTTCCTTGCGGATATTGTCGGTAACTTCACTCGGTACACTCGGAAGAAGGATACACCTTCATCCGATTTTGAAATGCAGGCGATTGCGAAATGCAGGCGACGCAAATTAGTATTGTTTTAGATTTTGAGGTGTTTCGTGTTTTGTATAGTAGGTAGTTTTTTTTTATAGTTAGTTATATTTGATTAGTGGTGTCGCGATGGGCAACAAAAGAAATAATCGACGTAAAAGTTGTTCTATAAAAGGTAGATGGTAAGTAAGATATTTAAATTATTGAGGTAAAAAAATAATGGAAAATTCTTTGTACATTTTAGTTTGGTCGAGTCTCGATGGAATAAAAGTCGTGAAAATATAGAAAATGTTCCTGGAAGTTCCCAACAAACTGAGGATGAAAACATTGAAATTGTGTGGGAAAATATTTCTATTAAAAAAAAAAATTGAAATTCAGGGGCGGAGAATTGTGGACGTTGCCTTTTGTTGGGAACAAATTAAAAGTCAGTAATTGTTTCTTAAAATAAATACCTATAAACTTTGAATTTTAAGGATAAATACTAAATATAAAGATATAAA